AATTGCCTCGTATCAGAGCCATCATAATACAAGAAGAAGACCATCATAATACAAGAAGAATTATATTTTCAAAAAAAAACACAGTTTTCTCATTAAATATTGATTTTATTGGTATAGGAAGTTATTAATAAAACAAGATTAAACAACTATTACACAGTACTTCACAGGAAGCTATCGATTGCGAACTATCTAAATCGTTACTAATTACTAATTTTGAAAAGTTCTTTTTAAGATAAAAAAAAAGGTAAAACTAAAACCTAAACTGTCATTTGAGATTAAACGGGAAGTTCTAAATAATAAATATTTCTGTTTGCTGTAGGTAATTTTCTCAGGGAAAATACTTAAATAAAAATGACTTTTTAAGTCAAAAAAAGTTAAAAAGACAAGTTATTTCTAAAAAGGACTGTCCTTTTCAAAAAAGGACAAGTGGCAACCCTAGGTATTTCTGGAATGGACATTTAATGGCAAATCTACAACTTTAGTTTGAAAATATGTTCGGGCCACCTATGTTTACAAAAATGTCTAAAATGTGCTTTACCATTGCCTCCACATTCTGAAAAAAAAATTAAAAGAAAAGTCACCAACTACAAACCTAATACCTATTTAAAAATGTTTCGGAAGCCTAAGTCACCCTGTAAATATTCAAAAGTAACTGAAAGTTTATATAGAAGTAACTGAAAGTTTAAATTGAAAATCGACGTTGGAACGATTTTCGAAAACTACTAACGTTTCAACATAAGTATATGTGGGATATTAATTATATTATTATATTAGACCTTATAACAAAACTCATCTGACGAAAAAGTGTTAATGTAGTATATTAATATGGAGTAAAAATTTTACTAATTACTTTACTTTTACTTTACTAATTAAATTCGTTCTAAAAAACTATACGCCACTGGCCATTAGAACAATCCAAATGCGCCTAGTTGCCGGGGTCGGAAATTTTAGACTTCTCTGTCTCTTCTGTCCTTGTTTGGCACATTGGAATGTTTGATACACTACCAACGAGTATTTATGAATGAGATGTTCGGTCTATGTTTATAATGTCTTACCTATCGTGTGACGTCGATATTTTACAGCTACTCCAGTTTTTAGTATGTGTTTAGTATGATCCTACCATATTCGAGATGCACTTATCTACGACGAGATGGTATACGAACTTTATTGAGGGTAACTTGTAACTTTATTGGTGTATAAGACTTTCTGCTTGGGCAGCGCGTATTAACCATACACTGTGCTCTGGGTCTACAGTTAATTTTCACTCAATTTTTCCTCCACTTGACTTCAAAAGACATAAAACACAGGTTATAACACGAATCAAAATGCATCATCTTCCAAAACGCAGGGTATTTGACAAAAGTTGACACAAAATTATAACCTATAATTTGGCAAGACTTTGACAAGCGTTAAAAATCTAAAGGCGAGTTCATACGCATCGGCGTCCGTTTGTCGTTCATCGTTCCGTCAAACCAATAAAATTGAAATACGATCTGTCATTTTTGAAATAAACCAATAAAACTGGTTAAAAACAACAAGAGACGACGCATGACGGATTTATATTTAAACCCATCCATAGTTAACTTAAAAATTATTAGAAACTTTTTTTAGTAAAATAAGTATAGGACGTCATCTGTTTTTCTTCTGTCATCGTCTGTCCAAATCTTACCTGAGAAAAAAAAACAGAGTATATGATTTGTTTGCTATTAATTACTCTCGCCTGGCTCATCTTACATTGTAACTCGAACTACACTAAAAAAACTATACTAATTAATAACATGTTTAAATAATCCCCTATTCACAGCCACCGAAAAATCAGAAACCTGGCAGGCTAATTAATGGTGTGATATAGCCCAATTACGTTTCTTTTAAACGCATCCTGCAAATAGTCTATAATTATAAGGGAATGTGCAGAACAACCAGCCATTGTAAACCTATGAAACTGAACACAAAATTATGATAGATAAAAATCTCAAGTGTTCTAAGGATATTTCTGTCGTCTTTTCCTACTGCCTCGTCTAGTAGACGGGAGCTAATGTTTTTTTTTATTTTCTTCAACACAAATTATATTCATATTCATTGTTTTCTTTCTGTTTAGTAATATCTTCACATTTAAATTTTCTTAATGCCGTGCCTTTTTTAAAATATCTGGATTATTCTTTGAAATGTTGGACTTAGTCTAGGTCTCCCGGGATATTGAGCTGCAAACATAATATCCCATACAGCGCGGAAACTATTTCAAAATGCTATTTAATCATCTAACTTTTTTGGAAGTGGTGAAAATCATAATTATTTTACCTATACAAAATAACTCTATTGGATACCTTCAAATTCTTGTAAACTAAAGGTGATATTGAATTTGACAATGCACGAATCATATTTTTGGTGGTATTTTAATTGTAACTTTCTGTGGGCCGTATTATAAATTTTACTAATTTGAAGGTAGATTTTGCAAATAACATTTAAATGCCGATTCCGAAAAAAACATTCTATTTGCTTGATAAAATAATCTGGTTCCGTTTTCCTATACACCACACGGTATGTCTTAAATTTGTTAATTCCTTTTTGATAGTTGTGAGAGATCAAAAAATACGCCACCGTAAGAAAAATGAATTAAGCCTATTATTTTTGTGTACAATTACAAAATTCGCGTAAACTATAAATACAAAATTATTAATTAATATTTATTATCTAAGAGAGAAATCTCAGTTAATTAAAATGCAGTTTTAATTGATTTAAGTGCTTTATCAGTTTTGTTTAGACATAGACAAGAATTTAAATTAGTTTCGTTCATGTTTTGAAACTTAATTGTACTATTAGCGCTTGTAAGTGTGTGAAATTTTACATAGCCTTTCAGCAAACCCTATAATTAAAGATGGATTATTTAATTAATTCTTATCAGTTTTTACATTCAAGTCAAAGTTTTTACATTAAATAAATACCACAAATTTTCTAAATACATATATACAGAGTGTTTCTTTAGGCTCTCCTTTGACTTATATATAGAAAACAGGACATTCATGGGGTACACATTCAAGTGGGTCAAAATTAGACACAAATACAGTTTTTCAAATTATAAGACTATACAAAGGTATACAAAAAAAAAAGGAAAAAAAGGGATAAACTATACAGGGTGTTCATGAAATGGTGTAAAAAAAATCGGGGGGTGGTAGTACTTTTAAAAATAGTAAAAAAAGGTCCTATAAGTATAGGGTGGAAAATGCATATTAAGGGAGTTAGGGGCACTGAAATGGTGAATTTAAAAAACGATTGTTTTGCAATTGTAGGCTTAAAAAACGAGATAGAATTTCGAAAAAAAATCCTCTGTCATTAATTTTGACTTTAAATCAAACGGTGATAGTGAAAAATTATTTGGAAAAGCGGAAAGGGTAGTTTTTGCAAGGGTGGGGGGTTGTTTCGCGAATAACTTTTTTGAGGTTACTTTTTTAAAATCATAATTATTTTACCTATACAAAATAACTCTATTGGATACCTTCAAATTCTTGTAAACTAAAGATGACATCGAATTTGACAATGCAAGAATCATATTTTTGGTGGTATTTTAATTGTAACTTTCTGTGGGCCGTATTATAAATTTTACTAATTTGAAGGTAGATTTTGCAAATAACATTTAAATGCCGATTCCGAAAAAAAAATTCTATTTGCTTGATAAAATAATCTGGTGCCGTTTTCCTATACACCACACGGTATGTCTCTTAAATTTGTCAATTCTTTTTTGATAGTTGTGAGAGATCCAAAAATACGCCACCGTAAGAAAAATAAATTAAGCCTATTATTTTTGTGTACAATTACAAACGTGGGTTTATTTTTGCATATCGCTTTATTTTTGCACATCGGTTTATTTTTGCACATCGCCCAGAGCGATATTTTTCGAGAAAATTGAAGGCAATGAATTTGCCCTGATGGGTTGCTAACTGGTTAATCAAAATAAATTTATGAAAGTTATGGCGGTTCAAAAGTAACCATGTCGTTATTAAATAATTAATTGGAAAATCTTAAATTTTATGATATTTAAAACATCTTATTGCTTTAAAAACGAAATAACCTTTTTTGATTTTAAAAAAATTTGGTTTACTCAGAATACTGAAGAGCAACTACGGCAACGCATTATTGACTGTTCCAATCAAATTCGGACAACACCAAGAATATTCCACAGGGTACGCAGATGGTGGAGAAGAATATCAGATGTCTGCGTTGAAATGAATGGTGGTCACTTTGAACATTTACTATGAATGAATTAAGGAATTCGTTATTTTAATAAGGAATTTTGGTAATTGGATTATTTCGTTTTCTAAAGCAATAAGATGTTTTAAAAATCATGAAATTTTGATTTTTCAATTAATCATTTGATAATTACTTGGTTACTTTTGAACCGCCACAACTTTCGTAAGTTTATGTCGATTAACCAGTTAGGTACCCATCAGAGCGAACTCTTTCTTCAATTTTCTCGAAAACCATCGCTCTGGGCGAAGTGCAACAAGAGTTTGTAGGAACAAGTATGTAGTTTTCAAAAAATGAATCCACGTTGCAAAAAAAATAACCTCAAAAAAGTTATTCATGAAACAACCCCCCACCCTTGCAAAAACTATCCTTTCCGCTTTTCCAAATAATTTTTAAGTATCACCATTTGATTTAAGGTCAAAATTTATGGGCGAGGATTTTTTTTTCGAAATTTTATCTCGTTTTTTAAGCCTACAATTTCAAACCAACTTTATGTTTTCCAATATTAAAAATTGATTTTTAAAAAATAATTTCTAACTCAGAAAACCAAAGATTTATTTACTACTTTTTAGTTTATATTTTACTTTTAACTTATTTAATTAACAATAGAAAAAATTGCTATGGTGACGGGCAGAGATTCGTTCTGCACTGCTGTCGATAGATCAATCCGTTGTTTGAAGTCCTGTCTTCGCTATTTATAATTAAAGGATATCTTGCATCAGCATTATTGAACAATGAAGGCTGGATAGGTACATAACTCCTCCCTGCGAAGAAGAAACTCTAGGGTGGACTAACTTGAGTTTCGTTAATCATCCTTGGATGGGGAACGGGCTTCGGTTGAAGTTTTCTTTTTCTAAAAATGAAATAAGAAGTTGCAAAAATAATTAGAATGAAGAAGATGCTCCAAAGTGTCCAATTCACTGCATGGGAATGAATGTAGAAGTTTTCCATTGGGTTTTCTTCTTCTAATTGAATTAAATGCATTTTGTCCAAGGGTATTTTTTCAATATTTAATTTCTTGATTGGAATAACATTTATATTTGTCAATGTCTGTATTCCAGAAATCAATACAGGGTGTGTACTAATAATTCCTTGTTTATTAGTATAAGTCGCTTGTGACATTATAAATTCACAATTTTTCGGTAATATGAATAAATATGTTCCTTTCAGGGCCATTACTTGTTTTTCTTCACATATAGTAGTTATTTTTTCTTCTTTTAGAAATACTGCAATATAATGCATTTGATCTACTTCTTCTATGATGTTATTCTTCATATTGATAGATATTTGATTACAAGTTTGTGTATTCTTCGTAGTGGATAGCGTTGACGTAACGCAATCTTCACTTTGAGGTAGTGGTAGGAGATGACTTCTTTGGCAAAAATACTTTGTACTGGTCTTCATACATTCTTCAGTGTCGTATTGATACTCATGTTTTCCCAGGATAAGGTAATTTGAAGGTGGGATAATTATTGTTTGATTAACATTAGGAATAGAATATAAATGATAATATTCTAAAGGATGTGGATGTATCAATGGAAAATTTAGCGAAAATATTATTTTATTTTCGTAAAAGAATGTATTTGTTTCTACCACTTTATAATAATCTAAGAAATCTTTATTTTTAAAAGGTAATTGTTCTTCATTATAAATATTTGACATATTATATAAAAGTTCTTTTAATTCTTCATGAGTTATTAAACTCGAATGCATAATCTTTAAATTAGAAAAACTTATAGAAGAAACTTAAATCATATTAAAACTTGATCCAAAAAGTTATACAGTGTGAGACAAAATTAATATTGAACATTGGTCACCTTTAAAGGCATGTTACTCTTTTATTTTAAATGGAACACATTTTAAACGATTCTATTAGTTGGTGAAAGCAGTGTGCATTCACAAATTAAAAGAATACTTAAATGCTCCTGATTTTATCTAGTCTCGTTTTTTATGGGGATATGTTAAAGACAGCATTTACAAAACTAGACCAGCTATTGTCGACAACATGAAAGAAATTATTGTGGCTGCTTTTCGAGATAGAACTCCACATAATATTATGCCTTTTAAAATGAAAAGATCCTTTTGAAAAGACAATTATTTTATGCAGTTAACAGGAAAGGAAGCAGTTTGAGCATTTGATTTCATCTGTACTAATTTTGTTTATATCTAGTTTTAATTCTGTACTAATTAAAATATTTAAACTTGTATGTTTTTATTACCTTTGAGTATTTTACGTTACAATCTTCAATTTTTGTTAAATTAACAAAAGATATATTACATAGCCACCTAGATTTTTTCAAATGTCAGGATGTCCCATTTTTGTTGAAATCATACGTTAGCTCCGTTATTGGTGAATATAGGAGGATGCGGTTTGCACAAACCTGTCCCCATTTTTTTCCAAACAAAAGAGGCTTTAAACAAAATTTTCATAGACCTATTTGTTTCTGAGCTACGGGATTTTTTGAAAATTTTGCAATTTGAGACACCCACTGTTTACAGCAACTTCAGTTTGCTAAAAAAGTGGGACAGGTTTGTGCAAACCGCATCCTCCTATCCTCAGGAATAACAGAGATATCGTATGATTTCAACCAAAATAGGACACCCTGTACATTTAAGTGTAATGGAGTTTAAAATTTGGAATATTCATGCACTTGTTCAAAAGTAGATGTTTCAGTTCTTTTCAGTACATGTGTTGTTCAAAAGTTTAATTTTAGCCTGAAATTAAATTTCATGATTGTGTTTTTGCGATATCCTGTATACAGGGTGGCGCCTCTCATACGACGCGGAGGCTCCAAGGAGAACGACAGTTTTTATTGAAATGAAATTTTGTGAGCATATGTAGGTTAATGTAGGGCGTTTTTTTTAATATAGAGAGTTCTACAGGGTAAAAAAAAAGTTACACATCAAAGTTGTGTTTTTTTTTTGTAATGGAACATCCTATATATACTAATTGATTTCCGGATTCTAGAAGAAAAATATAGGTGAGTTTCCTCAGAGAAGTATATGACTCAAATTTAAGGTTTTTTGGTATATGTATTTAACATTTTTTAAAAATGCTGAAGAATATTTAAATTTCAATAAAAGCTACCTAAATTCAAATTTATCCCGTATAGTCCAATATGTAGTTGAATAACGATTGTACTTTAAGTAAAATTGAAACTTGGCCCAAAAAAAGTTAACAATGAACATTGGTCACATGTAAAACCAAATTACTCTTTTATTTTTTAAATGAAACACCCAGCTTATTATTTCGATATTCAATGCTATGCATTCATGCCTATCCCTCAAATAAAGGTTTTCTGAGATATTTAGGATTTTTAGGATTTAGTGTCAGTATATCTTTATTATTTGATAAAATCTAGGTGGCTGTGAAATTAGTTCAACTTTAGCAACTAGTTATCATTTTGTGTCAGTTAAAATAAAAAAATCTCAGAAATTTGCCAAAAATTGAAACTTATCCTTATCGAAGTAGAACTCCACATATGCCTTTTAATATGAAAAGGTCTTTTGAAAAGAGAATCATTTTATGCAGTGATCAGAAAAGGAAACATATTGGGCATTTTATTTCATATACATAATTTTTATGTTATAATGCTTTAAACTTGTATATTTTAGCACTGTTGAGTATTTTTACTTACTATTATTATTATTATTAATTAATAATAAAGATCTACTGACACAAAATCAAAAAAATGAAAATATTTAGGAAAATCGTTGTCTGAGGGGATAGGCAACCGCAATAGTATTTTATAGATATATGAATTCTCTATTGAATACCGGTATAATAAACTCGGTGTTCCATTTAAAATAAAAGAGTAACTTGCTTTTAAACATGGACAATGTTCAGAATAAATTTTGTCTTACCCTGTATAACTTTTCGAGACAAATTTTAATTTGATTCAATATACAATAGTTATTGTAATTAAATATTAGGCTATACAGGGTAAATTCCAATTTAGGTAGCTGCATTTGAAATTTAAAATGTATTCTTCATTTTCACAAAATGTGAAATATGTCAAAATCATTACAATTTAATAAAAATCACCTTAATTTTTCTCTAGAATCCGAAAATCAATTAATATATGGGGTGTTCCATTACAAAAAAAAACAACTTTGATGCGTATTTTTTGGGAGGATACCCTGTCGAACTCTATATATTTTTATAAAATGCTTTCAATTAACCTACATAGGTCCCCAAATGTAATTTCGATATAAAGTCCCTTTCTCCTTGGAGCCTCCGCATTGTATGCGAGGCGCCATCCTGTATAATGTTTTTTCTGCATTCTGTTATAAGCCATATCCATTACATCCAGTCATTAAATTTAAACACGAAAATATAAATTACGCTCAGATGTAAGTATTTTAAGATAATTACACTAAATAAAGCATTAGTCTCGAAAGGGTTTGCAAAATTTTATCTCCAAACCTATGATTAAAGTGTTATTGAACGAAAGTTGAGCCAGGGTAAAAAACTATCAACGTCGTTGTGTATGTGTTATAGTATAGATCAAGGTTTTGTGAGTGGAAAAACTTTATCGAATGCCAATCATCGGTCAGTCAGTTTGTACCGAGCGAAAACCGAAATCAATAGGTTTAATTATTTTTTACAACAATTAATAATGGGATAATTATCTAAATCTCTAGGTATGTCAACGACTTTGCGGCCTTGAATCCAACAATACGGTGTTAGAATATTCTTTCTCTCTCTTTATAGTAGGGGAACCCAAGTGAGGATTTTGGAAATTACTCAAGCATAAACTAGAGCCCGTCAGATTAATTAGCCCTTTATAGGTTGATAGTCGCTAAATCGACCACTTTAATTTAAGTATGTAATCAGTCGCGTGGAAGTGTATCATCGCCTAGTTTGGTTGCTATGCTTATTTCTATACCATATCTATACGTTGGCCGAATTTGTGCGAAAAGTTAACGTAACCAGTTGAATATTCGACTAGTGAGCATTGATGAAACCGAGTTCACTGTGTGTCACATAGGTAATAATTGTCGTAATAAGCATTTTCTATACAAATATCGTGTGATAAAAATTTAACATTATAAAAGGAAATGTATCTGTGACGTTTATGTCTTTTTATTTAGTGCACCAAGTTTACGGCCCGGATGATATTTTCTAAAATCGTCAACATATCCTGTATATTTTCAATCATTTCTCATAGGATGCAAATTTCACGAAGAATAAAATTTGATTTACTTGATATGGGCATATTTTTGAGTAGAGAGCTAACAGTGATAATCAAAACGAACTTACTCTTTTTTCTTACATTGGATGATACATACAGTTTATACAATAAAATCTAGGAACTAATGGGGTTGCAGTTGGAAGGGTTTGGACTAAAATTAATACACTTTGTCAATGGTCAAGCTTTCGGAATTTATTTATTCCATCCTCAGGAGGTGGTGAGTGAGACAGTGTTCACCTTAAGACTTATTGATTTTTGTCGCATTTTGTTGGTGATGTATACAACGGAATGTTGATCATATCTATATATAGATGCTTTGAATTTTGTTAATTGCCCCTTCCCCAGTCCATCTAGGACTGTTTCAGGGTATATGCACTAACATATTCCAGTACATATTACCATAACAGGTGCCCATGTGCACTTGTTGTTTCTCTCTACCCACCCTTGGCCCCTTCAGGACAAAACGGTGTTTTATCTTTTGTTACACTTATATATTAATTCTAAATAATTGCGTGGGGTGCACTGCTATTTTGGTGGATTACCTTATCTTGGATTGATCAAGTCGCATTATTATTACCATTGTAAATCAATTGAGTCACAATTATTGATGTTGTTTATTTGTTCATCTCTCTTCTGAGCGACTTTGTGAGTTATATATCCCAATGTAAAATATTAATGTTGTTAATGAATGTTTTTATAAAAAAAATATTTATAATAGTTGTAAACCTTGCTTCACTGAGATTATTTCGGCATATTGTTGTCGTCATTAACCTTTTTATATGAACCAAGTTGAGGGAAAGAATACCTCCGTTATAATTTTCCAATGTTTCTCTCTTCTTGTATTGAGAGTACAGTTTTACAAAAAAAATAATACATAATAATATTTAAATTTTAAGTTGTAAATTAATCTCTAAAATGTGTCCAATATTTTTCTGGTTTGCATATAGTAACATTGGTTTACATATAGTAACATCTTTTAAATGTAAAGGTAAATTTTAGGTATCTAATGATTTTCAGTGCTTTCCCGTTGCACGAATAAGGGTACTTCTGAGATTTTTTAAAGGTGCGTGTCTTGACCGCTCCATATATCCCCGTAACCATCCACTTACATGGTTTTTTACATACATTAATTACACCAATAGCAAATAGACAGACAACAACCCCGTTCGCCATTAACAGATAATTTATATTTCCTCTTGACGTTTGACATTTCAATAATGACAGATGGATGTCAGTGTTGTCGTTTGTCAATTGCTGTGCGCCTCCTTGCTTAAAATTGAAATTTGCTCGAGAAAATTTCGCAATTATCTCCAAGGTTTTAATTAATAATCAGACGGTTTATTCGCCTCAAGATAGTCCATAATGTGGTTGACTGGCTGATGATGATTTTACTGTGGAGTCTTCAATGTATTCGTTAAGCCTATTCTTAATGTAGTTTTTAGAGAAGTTTTTTTACCACGTTGCGTTTTACCTACTTGACTTTTATAGCTTTTTCTGTAACGTGTATTTCCATTTCAGTGTCGTGATCAAAGATATTTAA